TGTTTTGGGAAAATAGTTGGATGGCCGTGAAGTAAGGACTCGCATTTTGATTGGTTCATTTTCTCTATATGAAGTGAACCACGTTTCTTTGGTTAGCATGTTTGGCTCACTTCCTGTGACCGCATTTGCTAGAATCCGACATTTCTTTTTCTATTACTTTCATTTCGCTTCTTGAAATCGTACAAAATTTGGTCATGTTTTTTTATAACTTAATGGCCTCTCGGTCAATACAACAACAAGAACGATGCATTTTTGGGAGAGACTACGACAACGATCTTTTTCAAATGTACCAAATAATCATTATCAAATATTTATTGATAATTTTCAATTTGTCACAAGATCAATATTAGATTTTAAAGATGGTCTAAAAAAATATAAATTGGCAATGAATCAATTCTGTCATTTTTGCTGAAATCCGTAAACATTATGCAGAAGCTATACTATCATTATCACCAAAAATCAAACGATCATCACACACGTTATTGCAATCAGCAGTCTCTCGCAAATCTGTTGATTATCGTTCATATATGCAATCGGTTACTAATCAAGATAGATGCGATTCATGTTTTGCACAGACTGTATCAGCCATGATAGAAGGTGCTTATGCACTCAAAAAACATATTCTTTTTCATTTAAGTCGACAGATGTTAATTGATTGTGGATGGTTTACTAATAATTGTAAATAATTTTCTTTTATTGATAAGACTCTAGATTTGGTTAAATCTATCGGATTAGAACGTATAGATATATTTTTAAAATGTAGCTTTCACAATATTTAAACGCCCTTCTGGGCCACCAGGATCACCGATACAGTGGAAATTAAATGGGAATGCATTAAATTAAACTGTAGAAGATTTTAAGAAACAACTTTCTTGTTATGGCTATTGTGAAAAACATCCTCGTTACTTTTGTGCTGTTGTCTCATGTCGACAAGATAATGATTATGGTATTGTCGAAGAAATTGAAAAAATTAATCGGAGAAAGAACCCTTTAGTTGCTGGAATAAAAGTTATTAAACCATTTTATTTGTTAGCAAATAGCTCATCAAGTATTTTTTTCGGTAGACAATTGCGAAACAACAGATAGTAAAATAGAAGGTTATCATATCGTTACTATTGTTGACTATGGTATAGATAAGAATCAACTTTCATATAGGCAAATGCGCAATAGTTAAGGAACTGATTGATGTGATAAAGGACATTTTAAAATGGTTCGACATGAAAATATGTGTAATATTGCTAATGAAGCGTATTATATCATTTTGAAATAAACAATTGAGTACATATTTGCTTAATATCTTGAAAATAAAGTTTCTTCAATCATTTTCAATACGATGACGATTTATTTAATTGTTTATAGAAGTCAATTAATCTTTTATTTTTTATTTTACTTTGATTGCAGCTGAAGTAATTTGTATAACTGGTTCATTTTTTTGTATTGACGACTAATTGAAGTATAAAAGAATGTACACCTAAATGATTTGATGATTGAACAGAGAAAATTTAGACCTGAAATGCTTTTCAATAAGTAATCAAGAGATAATATGAATTTTTTCAGAAAGAAATCAGCTGAATCTTGAATAGGAACACAAGTGTTATGATACTAGGTTTCAAGGTAGGATTGTTTACATAATAACCAGAGATGGGCAGAGTGTGGGTACTGGTATCGATGAAGAGAAATTCACACTCACATCCACACCTATAAAAAAGTAGCACAACAAACATGCAAACAAGTGATATCATATATGAGAAAATCTTGTTGAATGATGAATAAAAGTTTTCATTTCATTTAATATTGTAGAAGCAAATGGTTCTTTCGCGTCGAACAACAAGAGATGAGCTGTTTCCTAACATCAGGGCGACATTCCAAATCATTTGATTAATATTACTATCATAATCATAGGCGTGTACCAATGGTGGGATGTTGATAATTTTAATAATTCGTTGGTTAGCATCGACCAGAAGAAGTTCTTGTCTTCCATAATAATACGGAACTAAAAGCCAATTATTATCGTTCATCGAAATAAATCGATAACATTGACGAGTCAATTGTATCAAAAATAAAACAGACATCGTTTCAAGTTGACGTAGTTCAAATCTTGATTCTCGTTTTGAATTGACAATTGTCAAGCCCAAGTTATTTGATGATAAACGAAGGCAACAAATATTTTCATCTTTTCTACATGATTTCGGCGATTGCCATCGTTTTTTACACTCTGACAGTGTCCATTCTTCAATTGTCGTTCCAGAACACGATAAACATAACATTATACGTTCATCATACGATGTACATCGATGATAATTAGAATCAATATTCTTGTTCTCAGGTAATCTATACACCGTATGAATTTTTTCTGTATCCACATTGAATAAATGAAATTCCCGTTTTGTCAAGATAACAAATTGTTTATTGTTATACCAGCAAATATCAATAACATGTCCATCCTTTTTTGTCCACTGAATAGTTTTCTTACTGGGCTCATTTTGATTGTACACAGATAGAACTTTGTTTTCATAGTAGATCACATATTCTGGTGAAGCAGCTATTGTTGCATAGAGTGGCACTGTAGATCCAATTATTTTGTCTTGTCCATCAATCCGAAACCCAGTGAACTGAGTAAGCTCTAATCCACTGCTCATTCTCTGAAAAATGTCAAGTTTATTTATTCTACTTTTCAAAAGACCAGATTTTTCTTTTCAAGATCATCAAAGAGGATTCTCCTCAAATGTGAAATGTCTAAGAACAACGTTTCCTAAAGCAATAGAACTCAATCGATTGTGAATTTTTTCAAGAAAAAAGATGGAGTTGGGAAGGAAGTCAATATATTGGATTTTATTTTTTTGCTGCGAATTGTTCCAATTTCACTTAACATGTGTTTTGTCATATATTAGTTGCGTTCAAGCATTGTTCACTGTACTCAGTCATCGTGTATGACCACGGCGATCAAATTTTATTTCTCATCGCTTACTTCTGCCGGCTCTCTTCTGATCTTTCGATCAGATCCAAGTAGATTCTCCTTCGTATGATCGTGCTCTAATATGTTACTGAAATGTATTAATTCATTTTGTTAATAAATCTGGAAATTGGCTCGGGTTAATTGATATTTTAAGTATGCTTTGGTCAATTCAGTTAATAGAATACTTAAATACATGTTTTGTGACAGAAGCAGGCATAGACATCAATTTTGCATATTCATTTTTCAAAAGAAAAAACGACTTTATGATCAATTTTTCTGAAAAAATATAGACAGACTGATAAGAAATTCTAGATAAGCCCGAGCAATCACCGTTATCGGTTCCATCTATGATATTCAACCTAATTTAGGGATTTATCTATTCTGTTCTGTTCTGTGATATGCTGATGATTCACCAATTCCACTCTGTGGTGGCTTTGCCTCTACATCAATGCTAAAACTCACGGTCATCACCCTCGATTATACTGATCAATAGTATGACATTTGGAATTTCCATTTAAACTAGACGCAAAAATAGCTACAATGATGACAGGCATGTTTCTCTTTAAACAACAATATTTTCTTGCTATACATTGGCGTTCGCGAAATACCAGATTCTGATCTTTGTGACAGAGAGAAAAAAAAACCTGGCATTGCTGTGACGATATGTATGATACTGAGAGAGAGTTCTCTTGCGCCGATAGAAAGGAAAAAAAAAAAAATGACTATGCCGTGCCCATGAATATGATCACGAAAGAAATTTCCGTGTAAACAAGGCACGACAATCAAGAAAATTATGATACATAAATTTTTACTCTTACTTCTTTCCATAGCAACACATTTTCTTTATGTACATTGTCATTTGCAGAGAAATTCGTCTCGGTCTGTTATCGAGGATAACGCAGGGAAAAACAACAAAAGGAGTAAGAGGCGCTACCTGTTTTGTAAATATCACGAAAGCGAAGGTGAAATATAGCTATGTATCATTTCGACCACAGGAATTATGAGATGACTTCAGTTCGGAATTTTTTTCGAGTAATATACAATAAAAATTGTTATATAATGGAGTAACGAAGATTGAAGTGGGTGTAAGACGAAATCACAAGCTACGTAAGAACGATGGTTTCGATTTTGCTTAGGGTCATCATACGGCAAGATAATACGCATGTGTCTTATTCGTGATTGACATTCTATAAAATACTCATGTTTGATTTACACATAACAATATACATAGTACCTTCCATTAAACATCATATTGAAATACAATAGTTTCAACATTTGCAGCAACATTTCCTTTCTTAATTTGTGCTTTTTTAATTAAATCCATTTCTTTTACAATGAATCCGAAATATTTCTATGTTTCATTATTCTTTTCTCTGAGATAGTACTAATTTTATTAAAAAATCTGGATCTATGGGGAACCCTCTTTTGACGGTGGGTGGGTGTAGATGTCTATACTCTGTTAGCCAATATCAAAATCTACCAACACACCCTTAAAATCATATAGCTTACTAGAACATCGGAAAAAATTCTAATTGAAAACTTGCACTTTATATCAGTCAAGGTTAGAAGTCCAACATATTCAAAAGGTTAAATTTAATCCTTGATAACACTGTTTTTTCTTATTCTTTCTTGTTTATGCATTGCTGATATCTTCACATGAGGAATCTTCACAAATAAATATTGTCAGATTATGTTCAGTTACAAGTAATATAGACAGTAAGAAGCAAAAACATTTCTACACGTTTAACGTGACTTCTGAAATGCGTAGAAATGCCCTTGTTTTCAACATTTTTACAGATAAGATCATAACCGATACAACTGTGGACGACAATGATCTATAATAAAATGACGACTTATCACTAGGGGTGGGGGAGGGGGAGGTCAATTTATATCTACCTTTTATCTAAGTTACAAGTAAACTAACAGGAAAATGGCACCCCTACTTATCACCAAGACCATTAAAATCAATCTGAAGAATTCTAAGAAAAATTCAAGGTAATTCTGCTTAAAAAATATTCTCCTTGTAGAAGTAAACTGTACCTTTTCTTCAATTCAAGCGAAAGAATAACATTCTTATTTATAGACCGAGTTAAAAATAAAAACAAGAAGGTATATTCTGCACAAGCGAAAAATTAACAACTCACTGTCATAAAAACGTACATTGGTGGTAGAAAGAAAAAAGCAAAAAAAAACGAGAGTTAAAGAATATTGTTGGCTCCCCTTTATATTGTATGTGTTCGTTCTGTCGACGAAACTACCACAAATGGCAGACAGAGCAATATCCGAGGTAAAAACCAAATAAGTAAAAACATTAAGAAGGAAGAAGAAAAGGGAACCACTTTTTGAAGTGTGATGAGTGTAGGCGTCGGTGGATGGGTGTAGATGTAGGTATTCTTTTCCACGTGATCCACACCCACACTCTTCGATAAAAGCTATTTGAATCTACATATGGAGCATAGAAAATGGAAAAAAAACTGATAAGCTTCGATCGGGAAGGGAGAAAGAGAATTTTCTTGAAACTCTATTAGAACAAAGATCAAAGTAACATTTTCATCATCTATTTATAAGTTTTATGATATTTCAGCTATATTCAATTTTATTAGTTAAAATTAAAATTAAAATTAAAATTAAAAACAGCTTATTACGTAATATATTAAAATGTATTATCATTGCAAAATTCGAATAGTTGTATCCAAACAAAAGAAAACATTCAATCATAGGTTATAGCACACCTTACAACAATACTCGATAGCTATGTATCACGACTTTTCATTAGTACATTGTGTAATAAAAAAAACAATACTTTTTATTTCATTTTTCGTCATCCCATACCTATGACAAATACTTTTTCCGGTGTATAATAAGGTATTTTTTTCCAAGCACAAGTCGTATTTCATCTACCAATCGACAACAATTTGAGGATAATGCACCAGCATGTAAATCTGCATTAGCTTCAATAAATAAATCACTCAGAAATTCGAATACAATTTTTCCACGTTTTCTCTTGTCATGCAAGTTAATGATGCAAAAACAACATTTCTCTGTACAGTTATATTTAATAATTTATAATAACCTTGTTTTTCTTTATTTATTTGAATAAATTCATTGAATGCTTGTTCATCTTCAGAATTAATATAAACTGTTGATATATTTGCTCGTCGAGCGTCAGCATCAAATAAATCAAAATATTGTGTAAGTGCATATGCTTGAGACATTTCTCTATTTTGAACTTTATCTGATCGACGGACATAGACAGCAATATATGCATGATAAAGATCAATAAAAGGTGGTTTAAAAAATGGGGTGTGGGTGTGGGTGTGAGTGCATGGGCGGGCCGGCATAGGGGCGAGAGGGGGCAATTGCCCCGCCTAAAAAATTTTTTTTGGCTGGGACTTAAGAAGAACGCCATGAAAACAAGCGTTTTTAAGCGAAAAAGTGCTTATTGCCCCCCCTGAAAATTATGGTCCGGCCCGCCAATGTGTGAGTGGGTGTGTTTGATGTAATTGACGCTGTGAGTGTGAATTCTACCTTCACCCACACCCAACTATCTTGGTACAGCTATCATCTCTAGTCATGAAAAGGATACAACGTTGGGTTTTTTAACGTCCGCTGTGAAAATTTCTGCAGACTAAACGTAAAGAAAATTAATTGACTTGTTCTAATAGTTTCTTCTGCACTTAGAACGAACAATCCTTGGGATGGCGTTACTTCCCATTATATTAGACATAAGAAAAAAGTTTTCGCAACTTAAGTTGACAGGATGATAGAATCTTGAGTACTTTTAAAATATGTGTTATCGAATCTTCGAGAAAAGCTGTATAGACAAATTCCTATTGAAAAGCCAACAAGTCTTCTAAGCATTTTTTTATTAGCATCGCTACAATGGGAGACAGCACCCTTATGTATGTTCCTCATTTGGAATATAATAGGAACTATTATAATAAGTCAATAGAGACCTATTGATATTGCTTTTGGAGAAATTTTCACAGTGCACCTCTTGAGAAAATTTTGAGCTCTCATCATTCTCCGAAGTCCAGGTAAAGTCAAAACAACAAGTGTGCAAATATTTTGGGACAGATATTTATAGAATCTGTAACGATAGTCGTGTCACAGCATGTCCAACACAAGAGCGAGATGTTACAGAACAGAACGGAGAAAGAGATAATCCCTTCACGACAACAGAGGCACGTACTTCCTGTTTACTGGGCGATCGATCTTAATCATTCTACTAGTAGAGGCATCTTCTCTACATATTATGACGCATATTCTCTCTTATGGATCATAATATAATCAAAGGGTACGTCCATTTTATAATGGTTTTAGAGTAGGGCAAATTTTGTGACTTCTGACCGGATCCTTTAGCATAGAGATGGGTTTCACAACTCTTAGAACACTCTGAAAATTACAACGAAAATGGGTGAGTTTTTTCTCACGATAATGCTTCAGAAAGAAAGTCGATTTTTCGGCCCTTGCTATGAAATATGGACATTTTATGATAATTAATTTGTCCCGAGTGGAAATTACTGTGACGTTCTATACGGAGAACGTCCAAATTCCATCTGACAGTGTAAAACTTCTGTTCGAGTGCATTGTATACATGATGTTTATTCTTTCCTTACTATTTCTTCTCATCTTACATATTGTACTTATCTGTTTGTCCTCACTTTGTACATCATTTTGTACTTTGTCCCTGTCTTAGTACTCTTCCTTTCTTTCCTTATTATCCTTCTCTTCTATATCGTTTTCTCTTCTCTGATGGTCAAGTATATAAGCATATGCTTTGTATGTAAACGATGCGGTTATGGATATGAAGAAACATAATAAAGCGTAGTTTCATCAGCGCTAACACTTCTACTATCTAAAATCGTCACAATTACTCGTTGTCGTTGAAAGTCTCAGGGTATCCCAAGAACTGTGAAACTTATCTTTAGACAAAATTTCAGATCGAAAATCTTGATATTCCATTTTTGTGTAAATTCGTTGACTACGGGTCGAAGATCTAGTAATTTGATAATAGCATTGTAAGGAAGATCTATCTGAGTGTATCCTTTGGCGATTTCTCATATAAAACTAAGTTCTACTTATTGTAAAACCTGAGCTTCAAGGGTTCCAATACCTAGGAATCTCCCTTTCTTGGTGAAAGTCATCCGAAAAATATTGAAAGACACGATAAAAATAGTCGTGTAATAGTGGCAAGAACCAATTTAACTATATCCACACAATTATGAAGAAACTTGTTTTCAACAATGCATACTCACTTGTTGGTTGTTGCTGATTGTATGATATATAAAATAAAAGTTCCTATGAAACTTCCAACTTGTTTATCTTCTTTTCTTAGCTTTTTGTTGTCGTAGTTATTATAGATATATCTGAATAACACCTGTTCACCTCTTCACGTTGTATATAGATCAGAGGAGATAAGAGATAATAGCCAAACAAAAACAACCGTCCTTCGCGCATTTTTCTGCTGTCTAACAATGACGATGCAGCTACATAAAGAGCCTTACGCAAGATAAACGAACTCAATATTGAACTCATTGTTTATGTTCTTCGAAAAATGAACGGGTGAGTCGTGACATGTTCTTTTAGAAACGAAGAATATAAAGACATCTGCTTTGAATTTCATTTTATTTCTTAGTTTCTTGTATAATAAGCCTTTCAATATATATCTAGAGGATGTCAGTGTGGATGTTGGTCGATGTGGCTCAGGCTCTGGCTGTGTATGTAGGTGTGGTTGTGGATGAAATTTAAAAAGAATATCAAGGCTCACATAACGACATCCATACCCATATCAACACTCACACCCACACTCTCGTTGATAGTTCATTTTAGTTGAGAAGCAATCTGGGTTTTTCAATGCTCCAGAGATGTATAGGCTTCCCTCTTTGAGTTGAATCGGTAATTGTCGGAATTAAAATGCTATTTCAACAAAGGTCACTAAGACATGGCAAATGAAGCGATGTTAGGAAAAACTATAAAAAAGTTATTAGCGCAATCCCTTGCGGGATTAAAAATGTGAAACACGATGAATGTATTGTTAGTAATTAAATGGAAATCGTTTTGTTCCATTTCTTTGCGATTCATTTGTAGCTAACCATTTATCTGATGCTTTAGAACTACAGTTTCTCTGTCACGATTTGTGATGAGTAAAAAGATTCTCTGTCACGGTCTGTGATGGACCCAAAGCTGTCTGTCACTGTATGTGATGGGTCGGAATCCTGTCTGTCACGGGCTGTGATGGGTCCAAAGACGGTCTGTCATGGGTCTTCAGCGATTCTCTAACGAAATATTAATTATTAGTTAATTAATTATAATATTATTTAATTAATTAGTAAATTCGTCTGTCACGATCTATGGCGGATCACGTGACCGTCTGTCACGGTCTGTGGGGTGAGAGGAGGGGGTGAAAATTTCTACCCCTAAACACTCCTTTCAGATCGTGTTTCACAATAACTATTTTTGGAAAGTACTCATAATTTTGTGAAACATGATCTGAAACGAGTGTTGAAGTGTTTAGGGGTGGAAATTTGCAGCCCCCCCCCCCCCTCCGCCCCGCACAGACCGTGACAGACAGACTTTGGACCCATCACACACTGTGACAGACAGGGTTTTAGACCCATCACACACCGTGACAGAGAAACTATAGTTCTAAACCATCAGATAAATGGTTAGCTACAAATGTATCCCAAAGAAATGGAACAAAATGATTTCCATTTAATTAGTAACAATAGATCCATCGTGTTTCACATTTTTAATCCCGCAAGGGATCGCGCTAACAGTTTTTTCCAAGTGAAACCATTTCGATCTAAAGTATGACGAACGGTATTTAGCCAAGATAAAATAGACCAGCTTGTAGAGAATTTCACGATGCATCTTTCTGTGATAAAATCATGTCTTTTGGATGAAAGAAAAAAAAAGAGTTCGAGATAAAATACTGAGGGGATCATTTATTTTGTTGCACCCGTTATCTATCTATATGCAATAAATTTAACCCAGCAATAGCCGAGCCATAAATTTAACACATATTCGATGAATACAAAAAGATTTTTCAAAAGTGAATTGAGCTTGCTATTGAACATTGCTATAATGTATTCTAATGTATGCTGTAGACAAATAAATATCACTAGTTCTCAGAACTTTTTGACCGCCCTATGTATATAAGTCGATGTAGCAACAAAGCCTAAGTATTTTATCATACTTCATTAATAATCAAATCTTGAAGTACTGTCGAGTGTTTAGACTTCATTGCCGAATAGGGTTATATAAGATAAACTTAAACCAATATACTCATGATGTTTGTTAGTGGCAGATTTCAAACAGCTAAGAACTTTCATAGATTAGCTTTGAAACTGCTTTGGAGTAACGATGTGGGTGGAAAGAAGGCTCATCATCACATTCTATTCTAATCGTTACTGTATTTGTATTGCAAACCATTGATCATAATGAAGTACCTTCCTGAAAAACGAATTGTGATTTAAGATAAATGTCACAGTTGATAGAAGAATTCAATTGAATTTGTAGTGCGCAAAATTTGTTGTATTCAAGTTGTAATATGATTAAGGTATAAGATAATGACTTGCTTTAGAATTATTTATTGCATCATGTTGAACATGCTTCTTTTCATTTGCTTAATTTTACTCAACGACCATGTCGGTCCTAAAGGGACAGTTGAGCATTTAATTGCACCGCAAAGATAGCAACACAAAGGGTAGAATAAAGATGATGCGTACAGAAAAAGTAGAAAATCGATAAGTAGAATATTATAAAAGCATAATTATAGAATACGAGAGTGAACGAGAGCAAGCAATAGTATCGAGAACGAGTAGTGATGAGAGAGAACAGCAAGTTTGAGAAGCAACGAGTAAACCCAGCAGGAAGAGTGTGAGGGTGGATCTTCTTGTACTGCAGACGCACATCGACACCCACACTCCCACACCCACATCCGCACCCACACCCACACCCACACCCACACCCACACTCACACCCACACCCACACCCACACCCACCCGCACAGTCACAGCCACACCCACACCCATACCCACACCCACACCCACCCGCACAGTCACAGCCACAGCCCCACTCCACCCACACCCACATCCACACCGCAAGGAAATCATCTATTTTCATGCAAATCCGATAGTTTTCTTTATCAAATTTGTGTTTGAAGTCTAGATTGCATGTATGCATAGACATAAAATTATTGTTTATTCATTCG